TTTTTTTTTCTTGTCTTCAACCCAGGAAATTTGCACAACTGATCACTTCTCTCCACTACATCTGAAGCCATCTAATTTCTTTATTAAATAATTCCATTTAACTTCACTTGTTCTTGGTTGTTTTCACTTATAATGCTGAATCCTCACTGTGCCCTTTTAGGTCCAGCAGCGGGGGTCAGCACACCGCTATGCTGCAGTGCTGTGTCCTAGAGATCCTCTGCAATTGTATGAGGTCTGGGAAAAGATCTCTGTATCCTATCACGGTACCTCCCTCCACTGCCCAGACCAGCGCAAGAGCCAGCCCAGCACCGCCTGCCCTCTACTTCCTGCAATAGTATCACAGTCATGGAAAGGTCTAGAAGGGTGTGCTGGCCTCCAGAGCCCCACATCCTAAAGTGACCAAGTGGCACTGGATTCCACCCACTGTGCCCTGCCTCACCAGACCATGCCCCTGCTCAGAGGGACCATGCCATCCAGGGGCCGGGGGCTCCCCACTCCACCATTGTGGGGCTTGCAAATTTGCTACCAAGATATCATTACTACAGTCCTCAATATATGATCCAATTCTAAGATGAAGCCCAGTGGGAAATTGAGGAGCAAGCTACTAATTCTTCATATGATCAGTCTCATCAATAGCCCATTTTCAGAATTATTTTTCCTTAAGCATGAATATAGAAGAAATGAAGGTGATGATCATTAGTTTTGAATATGACATTCGGTGTTTTTTCTTTTTTTAATCCTACCACCTTTGATGTCAATGAATTGCACATCATAAATATTATGTATGCCCATCTATGAATTGTTCAATGTATATGTGCACATAATGAACATAATGAATTTTCTTTTTTGTCTTAATTTTTGACATTTAATAAAAGAAAGAAGTAACCTCTGCTCAAGTCATCACAAGTTGTCTGTGTGGTGTGTGCCTGTGTAGTGTGTGCATACAGTGTGTGATGTGGATGTGGTATATGTAATATGTGGATTTGTGTGTGGTGTGTATTGTATGTGGTATATGTAGTTTGTGTGGTATGACATGTATAGTATATTGTGTATACGGTTTGTAGGGTGTGTATGTACACACATACATTGAATACATCTGTTTGTGTGAAGCAAAAAGACACATTTTCCATATCAAATTGATAGTTGTTTTTAACCTCAAACGAATTTCTTAAACTGTTTGCAAACTATTTAAAGAATATTTAATTCTAAGTTACCCATATTGTGAGATTTCTTTCAACAAAACAACTTTTTAATCCTGCTCCACATCATGGAACAATTTTTTAATCTAGAATTAAAACAACAGTCAGTCAACCCCAACATAATAGTATGTGTTGGCTATACTTGAAGTAAGTCTGCCAAGAACTATCTAATGTGACCTAAATCCATAGTCATCAATGGAATATAGTGCTAAGAAAAAGACGATTTAGGTATTTTTGTAGACATTGAGAGAAGTGGGGAGAAACACCAATTAAAAATAAAGTTCAGAGTACATGCAGTTTATAAAGATCACTTATAAAAAGCAATAGAAACTTTATAAATAAGATAAATAATTCACACCACCATAAATATGATCTGATTCACAAATTAGAGAAATAAAGTAATTTTTAGAGAGGTCTGATAAAAACAAGATTTCATTCCAAAAAGCAAACCAAAAAGCATATGAGAAATAACTTAGTAGTGCCCTGATGGTGAGAATGTCCTGTGCCTTAGGAAAGGCACAGCCGCCCTTGCACAGCGTGGAGGCTGAGATAAGCCCACCAGGTGGGCGGCTCTCGCTTCATCAAGTGCCATGCTGAGGAATGAGCCACCTATACAGCTGCTTTCACTGGGACCCTGATTCTGGCCAAGGGGACTTGCATATGCTTGTGTGAGCCTGTGGTCTGACAAGCTGAGAGGAAGGGCTATTCTCTGGGGTACCTAGGGGCTCCCGGCTAACCCACGTCACCTCCAGTCAGGAGATCAGGGGCAAACTCAAGGCCATGTTTGTCTCCCCACGATTTTTCCACTGAGCCACTGACTTTGCTTGAGAGCTGTCCCAACAGTTCACATCTGTCTTTCCTTCCTGAAGTCTCTGCGCTCTGCCTCTGGGCGAAGCATGAGGGTTTTGCCTTTTGACACCACTAAGGACCAGCAGCGGCACCCACAGGCACTCAAGTTTCTGTCGGGACCTATCAGCTTGGGCAGAAGCTGAAGCTGCACAGAAGCATTATCAAGGTCTGTGTTTTTATTGGTCTTTGGGGTCCAAATTTAGAACCCTTTTTAATGGCATTGTAGTGAAAATATTCATTGTCCTTTGCTGTTGGGCCCTTCTTTTCTGTCTACTAAGGGAAGGTTTTCTAGTTCTTTCCCTTTTATGTGGCCAAAAGAAAAAAATAAGGGGCAGACATATTTATGGGGTACCCACAAGACCAGCAGACACAAATCTAGTCTTGGGGGTGCAAATTCAGGGGGCCCTGTCTGCATAAGTGTATGCTGGCATTAACAGCAGACTCAGTAATGGCACACAGGGCTAATTAATCATGCTCTGAGCTCTGAATTCTGGTGTTGCTCAGAACTTTTCCCATTTGTAAATTTTATATGCTTCATTAATTAATCTTACAACCTGCTGTGCACGGAGTCTGATGTTTCCTAGATTATCCAAACCCACCAGACTTCTGATTTTCAGTTTTAACTTCCATGGAAGTAAATTACGTTAAAATATTTTTGAATAAATCTTGTGAATAATATCCTAATATTATCTGTAAGTAGGCATTTCAATGAGGGGGAAAATCTATAATTAACAGCACATGGATTTTTCAGATAACTGAAAAATGTTTGGAGGTTGTCCTAAATGTAGAAATAAATTTAAATTAAAGGGAATAATAAGTTCTTTCTCAGCTGCTAGGTTTTCACATTTTTATGCAATCAGATGATAAAGAATGACATACAGTCAGATTATAAAGATTGCCCCTTTCTAGCCACCAGAAATCTTTAAAAGCACAATACCAGTAAAACTCTTCATAAATGAATAAATAATAATAAATAAAGTCAAGTTTGTAAGATTTCAAGAAAATGAGCCCATGGTTCCCAACTCAGCCTAGGCAAGGCAGAAATGCGCAACAACAAAGGGTCACGAGAGTGTATTAGCATCAAACGCGTGCTTGAGACATAGCTTAGCCTCTGCTTGTCTTTGCTCTGTGATTTCAAACTTGTCAAGGGAAGCAGGAACAACGCCTGAGCCTACCTTCGCATGACTCCACTATTCAGAGCCGAGTATAGACTGGGAACACCAAGCATGAATCAGTCATGCTATGCAACCCATTAGCTAAAGCACAACGCAGAGACACCAGACCTAGAAGGCTCTGGGCAGACCCCATGATCCGCTGAGGATGTCACAGACCCTAAGCCAACGAGACGCCCATGCACAGCAGCTTCCTTTAAGCACAATCTTTAGACCTGAATGTCTGCCTTCATTATGCAGAAAGCAAGAGAAAGCCTTAAGAAAGCAAATGATTCTTTTAAGGAAAACTTTAAAGGTGTAAGTTTGAGAATTCTCCCTCCATATAAAAATTACTGTCTGTGTTTCACATAACAAGTATAAAAAGCTTCATCCAAGCTATTTTTCTATTTTAAACATAGGCTTTTCCCCCTATGGAAACAGCAATTATACTAACACACTAGAAGTAACATACTCTGTTTTAACCTCAAACTTGTCAGGGTTTCTTGTTTCGTTTGGGGTTGGGCTCCTGGTTATATAACTTAAAGAAGGATTGCAAGAAGAATATTCATTTTCTTTTATAATAAACTCAACCAGATGTGAATATTTTTGCTGACCTATGTTCCTTTTGGTAAAACATATTAATTTTCAGAAACCAAGATGAAAATGAAAAGGCAGCCTCAAAGGGAAAAGAGAGCCCATTTTTAACACTGACAGTCATGTTACTTCATAAGTACTTTACATGTAAGGATAATCACAAAGTTCATTGTTTCCTTGAATATTTTGGTTCCAAAATTATCAGGATACAAACTTGTACCTGAGAATGTGGCCTGCAGAATTTTTAAACTGGGGCTGTTGCTTGAATGAAGATTCCCATGGCTTTTCAATGATACTGCGAATGCCCTGGGAATAGATCTGTGCCTAGTTTCTGTTCAAAGCCCGGACTGGAGTGACAGCACTGAAATATGCACCACTGACCCCTACATCTTGGCCCAGGAGTTGTCTGGCCAGCCATGGGGCACTGTGTGGCTGGTGGTTACCCAACATTCAGGACACACCATGTGACAGTTCAATTGAACAGTGCTGCGTATTAATCTTTTAAATATCATTAAATACTTGCACAAGGGAGGAATTTCACGGACGTGTCAGACATGATGTTGTCATTCTTGATGTTGGAGGAAAAACAATCTCCAGCCTGTGGTTGGAGGTGCATCTTCAGCCCCCACTAGCCTAACTCAAATGAAGGTACCTTGGAAAAACAGTTCCAAATTCTGCTTCACCTGCTGTAAACCCAGTTAGGCACAGACACCAAAGCAACCCTTGCCAGGTGAGAAAGTCCAGCCCATGCTAGAGCCAGACAGCATCTGGCCTGCCATCCAGGGGCTGGAAGTTCCTTGTGGGAAATGAAGGCGCTCACCCTGCAGCCCCAGCACATTCAACCAAAGTAGTGACACCGCAAGCAATTCTCCTTTCAGGGGATGCCCTGTGTTTGAAGAGTGTTCCGCCCCCTGGGTGGGCCTAATTCACAGCTACCAGCCAGGGGGCCCATGCAGAATGGGGCACTTGGCAGGACTCAGAGGGAATAGAGGCGGCACAGACATGCCATGATTGTGGAGGCTGGGCTAAAGCAGGGTAGAGTGAGGGCATGGATGGCAAGCACCCTCCTAATGGATGGGAACCAACAGCCAGGTTGGTCGTGCCCTGTCACCGCTGCCAGGATAGCTGGCCGCTCCCGACTTCCAGGATACCGCTGCGGATGCTCCCTGCCTGGCTTCCCCACCCAGAGGCCCACGCCCGCACCCACCTTAACGACGTAGGTGACTCCAGCGCCCAGCACCTGCTCATTGGAGTGGGGGGCGCGTGGCGGCGGCTCGTCGCCGAGGCGGCCCTTCCTAGCCGCGCGCATGGCAGGGGCGCGGGGGCCGG